CGAAGAATAAGAAAAATTTCCGTGTTACAAGCGGCGGAAAATTTCCCGTGTTGACATGGAGTTATATCAACACGGCTCTTAGCCAATCAGCGTTCAGAATTTACAAATGCTATATTATAATTGTTAAATATCAACACTTGTGGAAGTTGGGAAAACTCGAAATTGTATGAAAACACTCCGCCCTTCGGGCGTCGTGTTTCCATAAAATTTCTCGTTTTCCCAATTCCACTCGTGTTGATATAACTGTATATCAACACGGAAAATGTTTTATATATACGTTTGAAACGTAAACAAAGATGAAAAAAATCGCACGCCTAATGGTAGCTTGCAAACAGCAGTATTGTGTGGTACTGTGCAAGGCTTGAAAATGCCCCCTATAGCGTGGAAGATGAGAGGAAATCCAAGAAATCAATGATTGAAATAGTTATATAAAACTTATATATAACTATAAATTATATACAATTTGCCAAATGACACATGCATGTGCGGAAGAGGTTATTTCGCTGGACTCAGAGTGACAAAACGTAACAAAGCAATGGTTTTACTAACACTAACCCTATTCCAAACACCAACTCTAACCCTAATCCTAATCCTAACCCAACCCTAACCTAGCCCTACTCCAAGTTTGTTTCTAAACCAATCTTGAAGAAAAAAGTTTTGACGAAATGTCATTCTGAGGTCAGCGAAATAGTATATACCTGCATGTGCATGGGTATATGAATATTAAGAGTATATGCACTACAGTTATACAGTACATTGTATAGAATTATATTTATTATATACACAAGGTCTGGATATGAGGTATTCTGCAATCTGATTGGTCCTCTATACTAGCAGGATATTAGTTCATATCCTGTTAGTAGAGAAAACCAAAATGGCGACTCAAACTAAATTTGCGACGTTTCAAAGCAACATCAAAAAAACATAAACAAAATGGAAAAATATTGAAAATATCCTAAAAGCAAAGTCTGTGAATTCAGAACATGACCTTATGTATATAACAAAACAGTTATTCCACTCACTCTCGTCGAATGTGAGCGATATCGACTCGAGTTCGTAGAATAACTGTTAAATACACCTGGGTTTTGCAAGTATTTGACGGCGTAGAATTCAGTAGTTGATGGGGTGAATTTGATGACGGTGTATTTTACATTTAGAGTACTAGACTGAGTAGTGCAAATTTTAAACTGTCATCACATGTACCAATTAGCATCAATTTTTTACCAAACACGGTCCAGTGGCAATCAGAAATTTACTTTACATGTGCGTATAAATACGAAAGTTATATTGTTATTTTCAAGCATTCTATTCGCGTGTAGTATGTAAAGACTCCTACCTGTTCACGTAGAGATATATTCTCCCTCTCCAACTCTCCGCGACGTTGATTTTCGCGGCCTCGCTGGAGCCGCTCATTGTCAAGCTAAAATATTTAAAATAAAATACTTATGTGATACAATATACAAATTATCAGAAAGCAAAGTGTGTGGTACTGTAGAAAAGAGATATTAAATAATTTTTTATTTATTAACTTGATACAAAAACTTGCTCAGAAAAATTACGAGTTTATGTTCAGTATTTCGGTACTTTAGTAAGCAACTTGCGAAGTTGGCTCTGCAACTTCCACGCCCAATATTTTAAATTTAGAAATGCGGTTGGGAATATTTACAACAACTTGGGAACCGCGCATTGAAAAGTGACCCGAAATGAACAACAACAATTCAACAGATTTTCCGTTTATTACACTTTTGCCAGCATGGCATTGCACAGCAAAAAATCATTTTCTTATTTTAAGAAAAAAAATTTAAGAAAATTTTCTTGGCATAAGAAAATATTTTCTTGGGAGAATAACAAGAAAATTTTCTTAATAAGAAAATTTTCTTAAGAAATTTTTTCTTATTAAGAAAATTTTCTTGAGAGAAAATTCTTAAATTGAGAAAATATTTTCTTATTTTAAGAAAATATTTTCTCAAATCAAGAAATTTTTTTTCTTATTAATTAAGAAAACTTTCCTGTTATTCTCCCAAGAAAAAAGTTTTCTTGAAATAAGAAAATAATTTCTTATTTTAAGAAAATAATTTCTCAAAACAAGAAATTTTTCTTAAAAAGAATTTTCTTGTTAAGAATGTGTTGTTTGGGTGTGGCAGGCGCACATGTACGTTTCTCGTTGATCGTGAGCCTGACCACACGTGCGCGAAACGTTAAGAAATAAACGACATGAAAACGATGCCAATATTGGGCAAGAGTTCAAACGGTAACGTCTGTTGTTTAGTTGAAAAGCTGATGGCTTATTATTATATGTTACGCGTAATTCGAGTGCAATTTGACGTCTTTGAAAAACTCACGAGTGTATGTTTTCCAAAATGCACGAGAAACCATACTATTACTTCTTAATAATATACGCTGTACATGGAAAAATAACGCGCTTCGATGATAACACATGTGCACTTTTTGAGTCTATGTGCTTCTTGCATGTACTTAATTTCCGAATTTGCGTTGAAAGTGTACAACAAGTAGTTAATTACATTGCTAATATTACGAAAGTTATTGAAGCATTCTTCTCGCGTGTAATATTTAAAGCTTCCCACCTGTTGTTTTAGAGATGCAACTTCTCCCTCCAAGCGTTGTTTTTCAACGTCTTGCTGGAGCCGCTCATCGTCCAGCTAAAAGATTTAAAATAAAATATTTACAACATTGATACAGTGTACAAATGATCAGAAAGCAAGGTGTACATGTAAATAGTACTTATTGGATTAAAGTATTGTTTATTTTATTAGTAATTTCATACAACATGGAATGTTGGAAAATGAAAGAAAATTTAACAGTTTAGAGATAATAAAAACTACAAGCTCTGTTCTTGTATAGTGATCCTTACAGATATAAATTTGGATAAATGTTTGAAGATTCTCTGAAGCCGATAAAGACCATTCAACAAGCTCAAATAAAGAATATGACGAATTCCCAGTTCTCATTTGTAAAGTATAAAATCGAGATTTCTACCAATTAGCGACAATTTTTATCAAACACAGTTAAGAGGCAAGTAATGAGAAATGTACAGTACACGTGGGTATACAAATACGTCTACAAAAGTTATATTGTTATTTTCGAGCATTCTATTCGCGTGTAGTATGTAAAGACTCCTACCTGTGCTCGTAGAGATATATTCTCTCTCTCCAACTCTCCGAGACGTTGATTTTCGCTGCCTCGCTGGAGCCGCTCATTGTCAAGCTAAAATATTTAAAATAAAATAAAATATAAATATGATACAGTGTATAAATGATCAGAAAGCAAGGTGTGTGGTAAAAAAAGAGAAATTAAAGTATTGTTTATTTATTAACTTGATACAAAAACTTGCTCAGAGAAATTACATGCAAAATTAGTCACAAGATACATTCACCTGGGAAGCTAAAATTGGAGGGAACCCATATGAAAGGTTGGAAATACTCAGTCAACATCGCATGGAAATCTTATCCACTTTATAAAACATCATAAATTAAGTAAGCCCTTTCTGGATACAATACAACTTATTTGAGCGAAATAGCTGCATGTTGTTGTTTTTCCGTTTCACTAAATCAAAGAGCTTAACATTTTGGGTGACAACCGGTGCATCTTGCTGCGGACAGCAGACTAAATTCTTGTACAATACCTGCTCTGTTAACAATTGGATTTGGCGCTGTAGCTCTGCCAGTTGGCCTCTCTCGTGCTCTCTTATGGATTGAATGTCTTCCTTTTCGAATCTCTCCTTATCAAAATCTTCGTGGTACACGGCATTTGTCGCTTTCAACAACTCATTTTCTTCTGTCATTTTTGGTAAATTGCTTGCCTAAAATTGTTTATAATGATAACTTATATAATTATACAGTTTCATAAGCAATAAGGAAAAGTGTTCTCAGTGTTATTGTGCCAGTCGGAAATTACCGAGACGTTAATTATCACATGCACAAAAGTATACAGAGTTCAGAAGTAAACAATTCTTATAAGTCTTTTGCATGTCATTCGTTTGATCACATTTGCCAGGAGAAAATCGCCGACAGGACAGAATTGCTAGTGTGAACCATGCAGGCTTTATGCTTACGCTTGCACTTATGCTTGCGTTGTAGTGAGGACCATGCAGACTTTACGGATTGTCCTGCAGTGGAGGCTGTATACATGACAACACTTGTCTATACTGATCTTGGTAATTTTACAAATTACGAGTTTACGTTCAGTATTTCGGTACTTTAGTAAGCAACTTGCGAAGTTGGCTCTGCAACTTCCACGCCCAGTATTTTAAATTTAGAAATGTGGTTGGGAATATCTAGAACAAACTTGGGAACCGCGCATTGAAAAGTGACCCGAAATAAACAATAACAATTCAACAGACTTCCGTTTATTACACTTTTGCCAGCATGGCATTGGCAGGCGCACATGCACGTTTCTCTTTGATCGTGAGCCCGACCACACGTGCGTGAAACGTTAAGAAACAAGACGCTTACTCAGGCGTTCACTCCGGGTACAGGGCCTTAACTAAGCGCAAAGCTACTTTAACGTATGCTTATATACGGCAATGAAGGTATCTTTAATGCATGATATTTAGCATATTAAAGTTGGAAAAGTGGGAGAACTATACAGTGTACCACTTCACCAGGTGACTAAAAACATATGCAATGATCATAATATTTTATAACATAAAAATAAAAGGACATTGTGACACTGATTATCCCTAATAAAAGCTATCTAGTTCTTTATTAAAAGTTCTATTTAAATTTTAAAACATGCGTAGGAGTGTTTTATCGAGTCGTATATAATAAGTCGGAGGCCGTATTTTACAAATATTTTATGGGTTTTTTTATTGTCGAGGGTAGAAATTCGAGGGTGAAAAGCTTGAGGGTACATTTTAATAATTTAACAAAATAATAATTTAAGCTCGTGTTCACTTACTTTACTTTTAATTTTTAGCTCTTATTATTAATTTTTTATATGCGATTACTTTTCATATGACAAAATATTACTACATAAAAATAGACATGCCGATCAAAAGCTACAGTCGAGATAGGTTCAAACGGCGGGCATGTAGTAAAGCATGGACTGGACTCATTAGTAAAACATGGACTCTATTAGTAAAACATGGACTCTATTAGTAAAACATGGACTCTATTAGTAAAACATGGACTCTATTCGTAAAACATGGACTGGATTAGTAAAACATGGACTGGATTAGTAAAACATGGACTCGATTAGTAAAACATGGACTCGATTAGTAAAACATGGACTCGATTAGTAAAACATGGACTCGACTAGTAAAACATGGACTCGATTAGTAAAACATGGACTCGATTAGTCCAGTTCTGGCCCCTGACCGCGCTCCTCCCACGCGGAGAAGGGTCCAGGGAAAACTGCATGCGCATGCTCTCATGCGCAGTACCGATTACCAGCTTTTCCTGGTAATCGGAATTGCGCACGTTTTGATTTGCAAAATATAGTAAAATGGCGGCAGAGAAGTATCGAAAGTTATTTCCTTATTACGAGTATAATTTCACAGAGGCCGTAAGTTATGCAGTTACTGCTTGTAATTTAATTTATTTCATTTTACGGAAGGAACAAATGCAAGCGTATTCGAGTATACAAGGGGTAGAGATGTTGTTAATTTGCAGACTGGTTACGGAAAAAGTATTTGCTACGCTTTATGTCCCTTTTAATGATTTGTGACAGTTTACGTGGTGTTACTTCCATAGAACAGAGAAATTCGGTTCACAATCCATATGTTCATAAACAGTTCACAATCCATATGCCTAGCATTCTCGCACGTTACATCCGACTTTAATGAAATATCTCTATCGATAGAAGTCGACGTCGTGCTATCTGTTTCAAAAGTCAACTTTTTATTTATAACCTTTTGACTTACTTGAAAAAACTGAGTTGATCAATAGGATCAATACATCGTCTAACTTCAATTGAAAATAGCCCAGTACTAACATTGGGGGAAAGTAATATCAAACGCGTTTTTGAAAAAAACTTCACTTGGCTAGATGAGTAATTGAAGTGGGACAAACATAATGATGCACAATGCAAAGTAATTTCAAATAAGATCGCCCTTTTGAAAAGGGCAAGATCGTTTGTTCCCAGAGAAACTTTAATAGAAATATACAATGCCTTGGTGTGGCCACACTTAATTACTGTTCAACAATCTGGAACGATGGGTCTTGCTCGATAATTGATAAATTATTTAAATTACAAAAGAGAGCTGCGCGTGTTATAACTGGGGACATGTACGATGTTCGTTCCACACAAATACTAAATAATCTTAATTGGCTTCCAATTGAGGAATTTTTTAAAAAACGAGAAGTAATAATGACATTCAGGGCATTAACTGGTCGATTACCTCAATATCAACAATTACAATCTAAGAAGTAATCAAATCAAATTGGCGCTTCCCAAACCTATTCAAAGACAAATTTCCTCAAAAGGAGCTTCTCGTATAGAGCTGCGAAATCGTGGAACGAACTTTCAAGTGAAACCATCGAAAATCACAATGAACTATCAATCTTATCGTTTAAACGGCGATTATATAATTAGGTATAAAATTGATGCCAATAATACTGACAGCCTATACTTTGTAAATAGTCTTTGCTTGTTTATATATATATTTTGTGTTTCATAGCTTAGTATATTGACAGATACACGGCCCTTTGAAAACCAGTTTTGTAAATAATTATCCACTGAATAGGCTACCGTGTGTAAATAATTTTAATTAAAGATTAATTAAAGATTACTTGACGCTGTTGACTTTCTCTATCCCACCTTTGGCAGTGTCGTTGGCTTTCGAATTAGAATAAACGCAGCTCTTTTTAAGTTTAGGATTAGGTGACTTCCCTGTTGGTTTATGGAGACGCTTTATTTTGCCTTGATTTACATGAATAAAGGTATCTCTTATATCACTTATCTTCTTTATCAACGTTTCCAGCTTTGACTTGTAGTTTCTGCAGCAAATTATATAGAATTCGTCGCTCCATCTCCTCGACATCAATGGCGCTGTATAAAGCTTGAAAATCATTTCCTAGTTTGTTTTTTCCTTTTGTGTTCGAAAGCACAGTTCTCCTTGTTGGATGTGTAGTACTGCCACAGATTTTGCAGGCTTCAATTTCTTCATTTACAGGTTTTTTTTGTGTCAATACGACGTTTATATTCCCCATTGGCATTTAGTACAGTAATGCGTTGTTTACGTACGTACTTGTAAAATTCACACGGTCCAATTCTATTTCCGTCTTGGGCGGGGCAAGAACTGGCTTTCTATGATTGGTTTAATGAGAGCATGCGCATGCAGTTTTCCCTGGACCCTTCTCCGCGTGGGAGGAGCGCGGTCAGGGGCCAGAACTGGACTAGGACTCGATTAGTAAAACATGGACTCTATTAGTAAAACATGGACTCGATTAGTAAAACATGGACTCGATTAGTAAAACATGGACTCGATTAGTAAAACATGGACTCTATTAGTAAAACATGGACTC